GAGCAGGAGCAGTCGTCGGCTTGGTCGTCGTCGTCATCTCCTCGTCGTCGTCGGCGTCGTTGAAACAGCAGCAGCAGTTGTTGCTGTTGCTGTTGCTGTTGCTGTTGCTGTTGCTGTTGTTGTTGTTGTGGTTGTCGTCGTTGTTGTTGTTGTTGCTGTCACTGTGGTTGTCGTCGTCGGCGTCGTCGCCGTCGTCTTGGTTGTTGCTGTTGCGATTGTCGTAGTCAAGTCGTTGGTTTCTGCAGCTTCCGCTTCTGTCATACCAGGAAGTGTTCATCTTGACATATTCAAAAAACCCTCGCTCCAAACTGTAAACCATAACCCTTTCCCTGAACTTCGGCAGGTCTAGGCGTATGCCCAAACCCACAGTGTCTAAGGATCGTCGGTCCCTAGAAACCTGCTTGTGAGACAGGGATGCGACCGTGAATTAAAGCCGAAGACATGCACACAGGAGCTAGCGATTATGCGTACTGCAGATACGGCATGTCTATGTCTGTGTAAAATGCATGCATGAATACACAGCCGATAGATGTGTGATACCAGGATGCACATACTGGCTAAGGCTTTCTGCAACAATACATCGCCACAACTCTGTCTACTCTCGTAAAACAGCTCTCTCTACAGCTACAGCATTGCCTTTCGCATCAATAAACTTAAATATAATCAATCATTCTCAGGAAGCAGGCATAAGTGCAGCCGTAGCCACGTCGTCTGCAGTGATGATGACTCCAGCCATTCTCAGGACGAGGGAAATCGATCCACTCTGGATGTCCGAACTCGTTGCCCATGAAGTTGAGGTATCCCTTCCCACATCGGGAAAAGTGAAGCTTCACAGGGCCCAGTGCGCACTCAAAGCTTAGCCCTGCAAAGGTTTTTCTGGAGCACACCATCTCAGTGCTTCTGAACCGGGCACTGGCTCTCACGCTTCTTTCTCTGCTGCCGCCGTGAAGACACTACAATGAGAGAGTACCGCTGAACGTGACAGATCTCATGATGATGATATATGATGATATATGATGATGATGATATATGATGATGATATATGATATATGATGATGATGATTGATATTGGCACTTGTGCTTCTTTCAAAAAGCACTGTTGGAGCTTCCATGCTTTTCGGGGCCCCGCGCCTCGCCGCCCAGACCGAGGACCAGCAGTCGGATCATCTTATGCAGCCTTAGGAAAGGCGAGAAAAGGGCCCCTTGAGGACCCGTTTTGGGACCCAAATCCCAAGGAAAACTCTGAGTCACTGGCGCAAGGCCACGATCCACACACATTGAGGGTTGTGGACTTGTGAAGACGCTCATGCCGGTGTACCTCGCAAAATGCGGAAAACTCAGGCAGACTGGCACAGCTAACAGGCGAAGGTCACATTTCGGCGTCCATCAGCCAGAAAGCGAGCGTCTTGTCGCCTACAATGGCCTGACACATGTGCGCAGACTGTGGGCAGCACAGTTGGAAGAGTCACGGCGACAAAACCTGAGGAACCACTTGTCAGAGCCTGATCATGTGACTCGCAGTAGGCGATGACCTTGTGGCATCAAGATGCACAGTACGCCAGACTGCTGCATGAATTGTTGGAGTGGCCTTCTCCATGTATCTGCGGTTGGTCAAAGTGTGCACGATGTGTCCCATGTTCCACCCGTCGTCGGTGCACTGGCGCGAACGAAACTCAAGAAAAGTCAACCGCTTGGAACAAATGCAAGGAGCAAGCAGCTTCGCGCCTCTTTCAAGTACCTCTGTGTGTGCAAGACAAACAGAACTGTGCTGAAACCTCTGGCGTCTGGCGTGCTTCTATCCGGCACCTCTATCTAGAAACATTTGCCTTCAAGGCTCTGGCAGATCCTACAGATCATACAAGTCACTACTCATGCTCCAGCCCACGACATGCAAAGCAATAAATGCCGCAATGTCACTTAATGAACATATCCGGAATGGCCATGGCCAAGCGATAGTCGAATCCTCGGAGCACACTCGGCGAGTTTGGGAACAGCCAGGCTGGCTTTTGTTCGTCGACTTACGGCTTAGGTTTTAAGGTCAGGGCGCTTTGGGGCTCGGGGTTACGATTCAAAAAGAGTCGCAGAACACTTCCGATAGCCCTTGCCTTCCCTCCTCCCGGAACTCGACATAAGCGAACATAAACAAACAAGGGACCCTACACCCTAAACAGTAGGGTCCCTAAAAAAACGGGCCCCGCCAAGGGCTACCTAATTAAGGAACCCCCCCCCCCCCCCCCCNNCCCCCCCCCCCCCCGCCCGCCCCTAATCAGGAGCAAAAAAAAAGGGATCTGCCGAACAAGTGGCTCGCTCCGGGGGCTTCGGTTTCTTTTAAAGGGTTCTCTTGGGATTAGTGTGAGGGATACTATAAGGGTTGGGTACAGAAGCCTGAACATAAGCCCCCGAAGCCCTATGGTGATTATGAGATTAGCCCTAATTCCTGAACATAAGAACCTCCAACCTGCCCTAAGCCCTAAACCCCTAAACCCTAAATCCTAAACCCTCGACCCGGTTCAGCAGCTCTCACAGACTCGAGCTCCGAAGATATAGGAATCCACGTGTCTTGAACACGGAAGACCATCAGTCAAGAGGAGTCGGTTTTTTTACAGGCGCCCTACGATGTTAGAATGAGGTTTTTTGGGGTATCTTGTAGGTATAACCATATCGAGACCGGAAGGCCATATCATACAATTACGAGTACGATGGTACTACTGTGGAAACAGAACTGCACGATCATCGTAGCACAACAGCATTTGTATTTGTAATCCAAAATACTATAGGGGTACCGTAGCCGTCGTGGTACCACCGGGATAACATGCTGTTGCCATACCCTCCCAATCAAAGCACTCCATAATACTAAAACGCGAACTTGGCAACAGGTCAACTACGAATTGATGCTGAACATCGTCCCATTTCATCGCCCATGTCACACACTAGGTCGTAAACATGCAAGTCTTTCAACCCCAGGTAACATCCCCAAAAGCAACCCTGCAATGAAACAAAATGTAAAGCCCGTGATGAAACCTGACCCTGGCCCTAGCCCTAAAGGCCGAAAGACCTAGACTTAGACCCAGCCCTAAACCTAAAAAATCCTAAACTCTAATTAAGTCCTACGATCCTCAGATCCTAGATCTGCCAGCTTGAGCACCCGACCAAAGCCTCCCCAATCCACCGGCAAACACAAGGTCGGCATACCGCTCACGTCCTCTTGCAATGGTAGTTTTGCCGCGGCAGGACAGGCCCCAAGTCCCCCACGTAGAATCCCAACAAACAGGACCCATGCGGCATCCTCCGGAACATTAAAGTAGTACAATATCCTTTCGGCCTTTCGGGGCATAGGATACAACGCCAGGCCACGTAATTCCAGCTTCTCGGCACTCCGCTACTCCACAAGACGTCTTAATAAGACAAGGAAGGTTCGATGGGTTCAATCTTTTGTTCTCCCGATGTAGGGCTTAGGGTTCAGGGTCTTGGGTATGCATCCATGCATGCATGCATGTCCGTATGTTTCTATGTATGAATGCGTGTATGCACGTACGTATGGTGTGCCTGTGTCTGTGACTGTGCCTGTAATGTATATGTATACGAATTGTGCTTTACGCCATGTATATGTATGTATGTGTATGGATATGCATATGCTCATGAATCTGCATATTCACGTGTATATGCATACGTGTACAAGTGTATATGACGTATACATGTGTATATAGATAGCTACATACATACATACATACATACATACATACATACAATGTGTGTCTACATATATATATATATACATACATACATACATACATACATACATGTCTGCTCCATTTCAAAGTGAACCGGCTTGTCAAGTGAAGTGAAGCGGGTTACACGTGACAGCGAGTGTCCGAATGCATGTCCTCGCCAACTGTCACTGCTGAAGGGACGATACGATGGATCAGGTCGTTTGCCAACATGAGGTAGATGTGGCCTCAGTCGCATATGAATGCTATTACAACATTTACCGTCAAAGTTATTTTGTCGTGGTAGTAGCAGTAGCAGCAGCAGTAGGAGGAGTAGTAGTAGTAGTAGTAGTATAGGAGTATTACTAGTACGCGCAAAATGGTCGGTTTGTCCGCACACCTGCTCTGCGGAGCCGGGCGGGGTCTGTTTAGCTGGCAGGCGCATACTATTCGGCACATGGTCGCGGGACGGCCAGGGAGGCCCCAATTGGGCGCGCAAACAACTCGCCTCCGAAAATGACAACTGTCTCGAGGATTCAGCGTTTGAGCTCTTTTGCATTTTGGTTTCTTCTTGTGCCGCGCGCGCAACTCGCCCATGAAAAGGACAACTGTCTCGAGGATTCTGCGTGCGCGCTGATGTGCATTGTTGCACGTTGTGGCCGCGCACCTAGTGTGAGCAAGGTGTACCTACTCTGATTCTGATGATGATGATGATGAGTTTGATTCAGTTTGATGATGATGCTGACGATGATGATTTTCGGGATTTGGGTGTTCCTTTCGGGGTGCGTGGGTGCAAAACCCTGAACCCTAAAACGAATGGGTGGCTGCCTAACCCTCAACCTTAAAAGGAGTGAGTGTGTGCGAAACCCTAAACCCTAAATGCGAAACCATGAACCCTAAAACCAATGGGTGGCTGCCAAACCCTCAACCCTAAAAGGAGTGAGTGTGTGCGAAACCCGGAACCCTGAACCCTAAAAGGAGTGGGTGGGTGCGAAACCTTGAACCCCAAAAGGAATGGGTGGCTGCGAAACTTTGAACCCTAAAAAGAGTGGGCGGGTGCGAAACCCTCAACCCTAAAAGGAGTGGGTGGGTGCGAACCCCCGAACCCTAAAAGGAGTGGTTGGGTAC